CGGGGGGAAGCAAGGGGGCCCCCTGTTTTGTTGTGTTGCACAGATTTCTCCTCTGTGAAACGGAAGTTAAAAAAGCGTGATTTTTTCGTTGCCGTCTGGGAAACGCTTGGGAAGCTGAGGCAAGACTCAGCTTTGTGAACGGCGCTGCCTGGCCTAGCCGCTGCTGTTACAATAGTACTGCAGCTCTTTTTCCCGGCGGTCTGCCTAATCCTCAGCTGGATTTCCACAGTTGTGGATGGCCTTTTCAGAAACACGCTATTTTACTTTCCCAGGCTTTTTCATAATCTACCAAGTGTAACAGCTGCCAGAGAGCTGTAAGGGAAGAAGGTGAAAGACGTGCCCGCGAGCACAGGCTTCATCGAGGAAAGACACGCCGTAGCGGGTTTTTCCTCATCTGAAGGACTGGAAAAATCCTGCGTCAAAAAGCAGTAACAACAATAAAGGCGATCTTAATTTCGTTAACAAAGCGTGTGCTCTCTCCTTTGGGGCTACAGTTTGCAAAAGGTTGGTGCGATTGGCGCCTGGGAGCGTGTTCCCTCCTCATTGCCCATGACAAAAGCAGACGCTGCGCCCCTTTTCAGAGCTAGCCTGCGCTTTGTCCCCTCACTTCTGCTAATGCAAACCACGGAGAAACATCACCAAGTTAATGTTTTGTCATTTTGCAGTGACTCCGTATTGGAGTACGCAAGGAATGGGGCAACAGTGAATAAAGCCGTTGATGATATACCTTTAATAGTAAAGGTAAATAGATTTAAAAAAAGACCGTTCCATGCTACCTTCAAAAGCTTTTAAAAGAAGCCCGAGAGCCCTGCTAAAGCCTATTATACCTGAAGGGTATAACTTAACCAGACAGCAGGAGGGCGTTCTTGGAAGGAGCTCCAGGCATCCCCCGACTTCACGAAAAGCCAGTAGTCCAAAATTTATATATTAAAAAATAATATCATGATTCCAAGTTTTATTTAAGCAATAACGCTAAACACCGAATTGTTTTCTCGGTCATGGTTCACCTGGTTTCACCTTTCTAAGCCACACAAAGTGGAAACTTTATTTTTTAAATGAAATTATGAGCTTCCCATGCAATTACACAAGTCAGGCATCTATAGCATTGAGAATAAAAATACCACATATTATTATATTTCTGAAATAACGCGTGAGCTGCCAGTTCAGATGGAAAAGGGGACTAAGAGGTTGCATTCTCAAAATACCAGATGTGATGATGTTGAAATGTGCACAGTGCAAGTCGTTCGGAATTACAAAACCAAACAGAAATGCCTTTATTTGCTGAAATAGTTTGTGCATCCATTTTAGTGACAAAAGTGTAGGTGCCATCCAATCTGACAAAAATCCCCCTCTATCTTTCCTTTTCATCCAGTAAACTCCTAAAAGCAAATGAACTGCTGTCATATAGTAGCTTCCTCCTTTTCAAAGGATTTCATGCCTCTCTTTTTATCAAATGACATCCGAGTGCTGTAGTTACTGGGCAATCCTTTCCTGCGCAAATTGTATGCCACAACGCATTTTCTAACCAGCCATGATATGTGATCAGGAATAATTAATAGTGAACTTATAGAACAAACTCTGTAATTATCTTCGTTTTGCAAATAATTGGCAAAATTTGACTCTCCTCATTTTTACCCTGTTCTGTCCGATTCTGAAAATATCCCCTCTAAAAATGGTGTGACGTTGTTAAATTTGCTCAATAATAGGTCTCCAAGTTATTACTGCAAATTATCAACGATGAGCTAGATCCGAGAGAGTAGCATTCACCTTGCGCGTTCCAGAGCATCTGACCGATGGGGCCGCGCTCTCCTGTCAGGCCTTGTAAGCAATGATAGTCAATATAAATTTCTGTCAAATCCGGAACCAAAGTTAAAGGTAGTGTTGACAGAGGGCGCTGAAACAAAAGCCCTGGAAGCAGAAATTTCTGTTCACCTCCAGCCCCTTTGCAAACTGCACAGCAGTGACCCATTGAATATCATCAGGCCTTCGGCCGGGAAACGTGACAGCCATCACAGTGGTTTCGGTGCAGAAAAATCTGTTTTGGAAAAGCAAGCGGAGGCCATGCAACTCAGTTTAACGTCAGATGGTAACCCCGTGAAAATCTTCTGTTGTAATTATAGCAGCTTTCTTCTTGTCTTACTTAAATAAATACAACGAAGTTCCTAGAATATCTAGAATTGGAGATGCCCTCACGCTGCAAAGAGGGTGGTTGATAACAAGCAGCAGATTGGGTTAACTCTCCCACAAGTGCTTTGCTCGCTGCCCCTCTCCCAGAGGCAGCCGCTCGCTGCAGCGGCAGCAAGAAAAGTGTCCTTAGAGGTGGCCACCCACCCCTGGCTGGTCCCGAGGTGCAGCTCGGTGAAGGACCACCTCTCTAGCATTTCTATCCAGCCTAATCTCAACTTTAACCAGGGACACCTCGCAGCACCAAGATGTTTGGAGCCGGCGCTCACCAGGCAGGGTGAGGAGGAGCGGCGAGGGAAGGAAGGTCCCTGCAGA